TCTAGCTTAACTATTACTTCTTACTCCATTATACAAATAACATTTACATACTATGAAATGACCTTTACGATTAATGTTTGGGCACCTCTCCTTTCAGTCTTTTAACTATGTGAAGTGAATTTTTGAAAAGGAATTATTTAATTTTATTCATCATCATCATTATTATTTTTAATTTGTTATAAGGCCTGTGTGCTCACCAGAGAGAGAGAGAGAGAGAGAGAGCGAGAGAGAGAGAGAGCAAGCCACCAAATCCAGGACTCACATGTAGGAGTCCAGCGCCCTTAACCACCACACCACCTGCCTGTGCCCCCAAAGTGAAATTTTTTTTTTTTTTTTTTTTGGAGAGATTTTTCACTGTAGGGCGCGTGCGCTCGCCAGACAGACAGAAAGAGACATAGAGACAGAAAGCGAGAAATCACCCCCCAGGGGGGATGGTCACGCCGCAATCCCTTCTCCTCCATTCTCCTCTTGGGATCTTGGGCACGCACGCACATGCGCCCGGCGTGAGTTTTAAGCCACCGGGTCCGGGATACGAACCGCGGTCGACTACATGGGAGTCCAGCGACATAGCCATTACGCTAACTGCTGGTTCCCCGCAAGGTGAATTTTTAATAGTAGACATAATATTTTGTAGATAAATTATATATCTACTTATCCACTTAATATTACAGTATAAGTATTTAAATCATTTTAGAGTCTTTCATGAGCATAAGCTTTAGAACTACTATAGAAATCTTCAATGTATAGGCCCAGCCCCTCTAGTATGATGATAACGGAAGCACCCAGCAAGGCTGGAAGCCATATGGCCAACTTTGGGCTTGGATCCCGCAGTTAGCCTGAACACATGCCCAGTACACACATGGGTACCCAGGACCTAAAGAATCTGGAAGGCTAGGGAAAGGGGGGTCACAGTGTGACAAGGTCCTGTCAAGAGCGCTTCTCTGTGTGTCTCTCATGCATGCATTCTCTATCATTTAAACAAAACAAAACAAAACAAAACAAAAACGCAGACATATTTAGAAGTAGAATAGTTCCCTGAGCCATCCTCCCCCTATTCTAAAATGGTCAACTGCTGGCCAATCCTTTTCATGTAAATCTCCTCCTGTACTTTTTTATTCATTATAATTATTATTATCTCCTCTTTTATTACAGCATATCATTCTAGCTCTAAATATTTCATCATAGCTTTTTTTTTTTTTTTTTTTTAAGGTAAGAGTTCTGGGACCAGTAGTTGGGGTAATGGTTGTTGGACTCCCACGTAGTTGACTGCGGTTTGAGTCCTGGATCTGGTGGCTTAAAACTCATGCTGGGCACGTGTGTGTAAGTGCCCCCTAGATCCCAAGAGGAGAGTGGAGCAGAAGGTATTGCACATGGCCATTTCCCTGGGGGATGATTTCTCGCTTTCTGTCTCTGTCTCTCCAGCAAGCACATGTGCCCTATAGCAAAAATCTCTCTTAAAAAAAAAAAAAAGGGTTCTAAGAGAAAGCCTTTTTTCTCAGGACACAAATACGGAAGTATTTAGGGATAGGAGAGAATTATGTCTGCAATTTTCAAATGATTCATGAGAAAGATTTTAGACAGGTTGACCAATTTGATGGAGGGTACACAGGAGTTTGTGGCACTGTTCTTGCAATGCTTCTGTAAGTTTGAAATATTTCTAAATAAAAAGTTTTTAGGGGCCGGCCGATAGCGTGGTGGTTAAGGGCGCTGGACTCCCACATGGCCGACTGTGGTTCAAGTCCTAGATCTGGCAGCTTGCTTTCTCACTTTCTCTCTCTGTCTTTCTCTGGTCAAATAGAAAGAAAGAAAGAAGGAAAGAAAGAAAGAGAGAGAGAAAGAAAGAGAGAAAGAAAGAACAAAAAAAAAAATTTGGGGAGGGGAGGCGAAAGGGGGGGGGGGGGTTGGAAAGTGAGAGAGCAAGCTACCAGGTCCGGGACTCAAAATGGTTAGCCATATGGGAGCCCAGTATCCTTAACCACCATGCCACCTGCCGGCCCCTAAATAAAATAATTCTTAAAAGCAATTTTTAAAAAGTTTTACCAATATGGATTACAAAAAAAAAAAGAAAGAAAGGTAACCACAGTACTATATTACATATCATATTATGAGTAATAATAAAATTTTAATAATATCAAATATCGCAACATTCAAACTTGTCTAATTAGATAATTTGAAACAATGTTTTGTTTGTTTGAAGCCCAATTCCAAATAAGGTTCATACAGTACAACTGATATTCTCTTAAATTTTACTTAATCTATAGGTTTCCCTTCTTTTTTTTATTTTTGCTATTGCTATAGAAAATTTTTGCTAAAGAGTTTGACTGTATAGTTTCCCCTAACCCGAAACAATGATTGAGTCTTTTGGTGCTGCTTTACGTGTTCCTCCGTCTCTGATTCAGTTTCTTAATTTTATTATTATTATTATTATTAATCCTGATTTTTGTCTTCACTGGAAAATTCTGCAGGTCTGGCATTCCCACCTGGCAACAATGGGTCTGTGGCTAGGCAGGGCTCCCCTCCCCGACTCTGTGCCTTCCACCCCCAGTTAGGTGACCCCAGTTCACAGGCCTTCAGATGACCAGTCTCACACCTTTCTCTGCCTGGTTTCTCAAAGGCATGGAGGTTGACACTCCTTTTCTAGACATTTCCTACCCCGAGGGTTGGTAGACATCAACACAACATCACACAGCAAGAGGCCTTTCAGGAATGTGGCCAGACAGGAAGGCAGTTTGGATGGGGACTTCCTTAAAAAGCATGAAGTCCGAAAGAGATGGGCAGCCAGATAAGGGAAGGCCCCATGATGGATTTTGATGGGAGCCCAGGAAGGGCAAGAGAGAAAAAAGTACAACCATAAATTGAGTTCATCAGTGCTTCAAGTATGGGAAGCCAAATGAGTTACCGATTTCTGACTAGGGTGAAAGGAAGCAAATGGGTTTTAGAAAGACAACATTTCGGTCTTTGTGTATCTGATACGATAATATGGACATTGTACAGAGAAAGAGAAGGAGGCAGTCCATGTTCAACTGGTCCGTAGTCCTAGCCAGAAAGGCCAAGCAGGCGGTTGAAGCGTGACAGAAGTCTGTGCGGGGTTAGAAGAACTGAGGTAAAAACCAGCAAAAACTCCTAGAAAATGCCCCCAGGAAAAGATCAACAGGCATGCTGTGGAGATGATGGAGAAATTAAGAAAGGAGAGGCCAGCAGATGGCGTAATGGTTATGTCACTGGACTCCCATGTAGTCAAGTGTGGTTCGAATCTTGGACCTGGTGCCTTAAAACTCACTCCAGGTGTGTGTGCACGTGTGTACCCAAGATCCTGAGAGGAGAATGGAGGAGAAGGGATTGCAGTGTGGCCATCCCCCCTGGGGGGTGATTTCTCGCTTTCTGCCTCTCCTGTGAGCGCATATACCCTATAGCAAAAGCTTCTCTTTAAAAAAAAGAAAAGAACAAAAAAAGAATTTAAGGAAGGAGAGACTCTTGAAAGTCTTGGGGTTTTTTCTGTTTTTGTTTTTTTGCAAATGTACTGACATGAAAAGTATTATACAGACAGAGAAAGTACGACACATTTAGTTATTGTGAAACAATAAACCTTTACAGAAAAGAAGATGACAAGTTGGGACGTTCCTGGAAATTTCCAGATAGTTCCCCATACTCAGAAGCATGATTAAGAGAGAGACTCTGCGACTGCTTATGAGGAAGGATGGAAAATTTTGAAGGACAGGCTGATTATGTAAGTTTTAGGCTGTGGCGTTTAACACGGTTGCCGTGATATTTCAGTTATTAATAACAATTTGGGGAAATCTCACTTCTGGAGAAACATTTGGCTCTAAGGAGAAAGAAATGCCACTGTTTGTGAATTCCCAAGTGGATGTAAGAAGCCATTCACTTGCTTAAGCCTCTTAGGAGGGCCAGAGCCGATTTCATCCTAAGGAGCTGTTGACAAGGTCTGATCAAGGTGCCACCTGGAACACGTGGGCAGTACAAGCCAGCGAGCTGCGGAGCCAGGCCTGTGCTTCAGTCCCTTCGCGTCACTCACCACGTGACCCCAGCAGACTACCCGTGGAAAATTTCTAGGGTGTAAAGTTGGTTTTGCACACAGCTCTGATTCTGACGGCTTGCTTGGTAGGAACTTAAGAATACTTAACTTCTATCGCTAACAGCCATGGCAGCTTATAATTACAGAGTGCTTTGCTTTGTGCCAAGGACATGTTTTGCATGTACAAGGGGCCTTCTGGAAGTTTGTAGGAAAATGGAATTAAAGTAGAAGCTTATTTTGCTGCCATTAAAAAAAAAAATCTATGCACAATTTTTCCATAAGGCGCATTTCCACGAATCTTTTGAAGCCCTCTCCCTGGGTCAATATTATCTCATTTTATTCTCAAAAAACCCCCACAAGTAGGCGCTAACATAAAAGTGTGTCCCATTTTACAGATGAGGAAGCCGAGAACGAAGGAGACGAACCTTCCTAAAGTAGAAGCAACGAAAGGGCCCAGGCTGCGTGTTAAACCCAGGCAGGCTGAGCTGAAGGCCGAATTGGCTTGTGTTACCCTCCCACCCCAGGGAAGCCAAGCGAGCAATATGTGGACTTGCGCTTTTCAACCCTGGCTCCCAATCCACATGCCTCAGTGTCCTCAGAGGTCTTTGAATAATGCTCAGCTCAGTGGAAACATAGAAACCTTCCATGTTTAGCTACAAGTTTAAATCTGAATCCACTATTAACAGGAGATCAGCTCAGGTTGTGCAGAAGCTCCAAGGGGCAGTTCTATAGACAAAACATTGCAGGTGTTTCCCCCGTCCCCGAGTGGGAAGATGAATCATTACTTAATAAATGCAATTTAACAGAGTAGATCCTTCTGAACGTGTGGCCTACGGAGGGAGAATAAAGGGTGCTTGGTGTCGAGGAGGTCAGGAACGGCTCCAGCGCGTGTGCATACATGCCAGCCAAACTGCCAGCCTCCCAAACTCTGCCTTTATTTTAAAATAACAGGAGTCTTTAGGCTGCCTTCGAGTTCACATATATTTCTTTTATTACGTTAGAAGTTTGACTGACTTGGTATTTAATATTGGAATCTACTATTGCAGGATCTTCAACCCGAGAGAGACAGGACAAGGAGGCTTTTGTAGGAACACAGCAACTTACTTGTACCCGCGCTGGCTCAGTGCATTTGCATCCAAAGGCTGAACCCCGAATTTCTTGGGGGCTCTGCCTTATATTTGCTTTAGTTCCTTCGTCTCCCTTACATGGTTATACACACTTTGACGTATTTCTGAGTGGGTAACTTCTATGATAAGGCTGCTCCAGAATTATGCGGGTATATAGTGGGCTTCCTGGACTGTTAGGTAGGTAGGCCTGCAAGAAGTTAGAGTTGCTAAGTTGCTATGGAGACAGGGCTAGAAGGCTACTCTGCTACAGGTAGCAATGTCTAGCCCCTTTATCTTCCTTAGCTCTGGAAACCCCTCCACCACCACCACCACCGCACTGTAGTCACGGAAATGATCACACTCCTAAAACGTGGTCAGGAACTGGACATGCAGACCTGCAAGCCCTGTTATTCCAGGCTAAACACAGGATGTAAGTCAGGCAAAGGACAGCCTTTTTCATCCTTTCCAGTTGGAGTCTGGGAGTAAACTTTTCCCAAAGAAAACCGTACGATAACTCAGTATCATCCAAACACAGGCAGCAGGGATAAAAAGCAAATACCTGAACATTAGCGCTAGGCAGCTGGCGCCTCAAAGCGAGTTTGTGGCAGGCCCTCCGGAAATCCTTGCCAGCGAGCGCCCAGAGCTTGGAAGTCGTGCCCTTTTATTTCAGGAAAGATTTGGGTCTCTTGTGTGAATTCGTATTTCTACCAGGTTGGGGGAAATCAATCTTGCCCCCTCCTTGGAAAACACAGCGGACACCCTATTTCTGAGAGTCGGGTACAGTTAGAACTGCCCAGGACTTCTGCGAGTCCTGCCTGGTGCAATTGCGCAGGGTCCGGGTCGGGAGCTGCGGGGCCCTTCTGCGGGCCGGGCCCAGCTCTGGCGTGTCCGTGCGCTCAGGCCTCGCTGTCCTCGCTGTCCCCGGTGTGTCCTCCCCGAGGAACACGGTGTCCGCTGCCCCCCGCTGGGGCCTAGGGCTTGGCGGGCCTTCGGCTCCCCGCGCCCCCGGGGTCAGGCCCGTCATGGGTCTCCCTGGCCTCGTCCTCGGCGCGGCGGTCCCCCAAGTGCCCTCCGCAGGGTCTGGGCCGGGCCGGGTGGGCGCGGCGCGACCGCAGCGGTCCCCGGAGGGAGCCTGGAATCCCGATGGGGAAAGTCTGGCAGGGCTTCGGGCTCCGCGACGCTGGGAGCAGAGCTGTCGCAGCAGAACGCGCCCGCAGGTGCCGGCCCCGGGTCCCGCGCCCCGTGTGCGGGCGGGGGCCGGGGGGAAGCGCACCGGGGCTGGGGGCGCGGTGGGGTTGGGTCCATCGGGCTCGCCCACTGCAGCGACTTTCGCACTTTCCCTCCTGGTGCTGGGAATCGGACCCCAGTGCCGACCCCACGGGAACGCGATGATCGCTTAATGCCACACCGAACCCCTGGAATTGAACGGGACGTGCAAAGGCAGGGCCCTGCCCCCAGGGGTTAGCAATCTCAGCCTCCTACTTCTGCCTAGTTAGGTACAGCCGCTGTGCGGGTATACCCGCCGCCCGCTGTGAGCCGCGTCTTTGCAGTGTATGCTAACTCACCTGAGAGTTTAGTGTGTCTGCGGTTGCACTTTGTAACTCCTGCTCTGCTGCAGGTAAGTGCCCAGCTCCTTTCTGGACCCCAGCCCTCAATGAATATCCCTCGGAAGAATCCATTATATAGATGGTAGGTACCGTGGGGCCTGCTACGTATTTGAAAGATGGGAGACTTTTCTCCTAACCATGAAGCTCGAGAACTTAGCCAGGTTCTCGCGGCTTAAAAGTCTAGGAGAGTTTGTCACGGTTTCGGGGACACTGCTAGTGATGCACCGTCTCTAAGGGCAGTTTTTCCAGGAGTAGGAACCCATTAGGAGGTTGCGGAATCCGTGTAGTGTGTGGCTACTGGGGAAAAAAAATAAAGAGACTGCAGAGCACAGTATGGAAATGAATGGCATGGGAACCACCAGCGCGCACTGCATGTAGAAAGGGCAAACGTTTTATAAGACTTTGGGTTTTATTAGAGTTTGTGTAACTTTTTTGAATAAGTGACTGTCTTAAAAAGTTCTAAAAGCCATAACTTATCAATTACTAGTCCAGGCTTTGGAAACTGCCATAAGTTTGAGTCCCAGATCTTGCCTAAACCAGTTATGTGACCTTGAACAAGGTCTGTGACCTCAGAGCCTCCATTTCTGTCGCTGTAAAATGGAAGAATAATCCCCCCCTCTCCAGGGGTGTTGGGAGGATTACGTGAGGTCACTCCGTCAGTTACTTGGTGCACGCCTGACTTACTGTACTTGTCTGGTTTATGCTAATTACAATTTCTGTGGGTGCTTGAAAATTCAAATCCTGCCCACTAATCATGGGACCCCGCACCTTTTCTCTTGTAGATCTTGATGCGGAAGAGATGGAGGACTCAGAACCAAGGATGTCCAAGTGATTTCTTCCCAGGCCCAGGACACCAACTCTGCTAAGGCTGGTCTGTTCTAACTGAGGTAAAGAAAGTTATGTCTCTCCTTGGTCGGTGTGGAATGCAAAGTGATTTTTCCAAGGGACTCGTAGAGGTTGTATGATTCACAACAGTAATCGCCCAGGTTTGGGGATTACCAAGTGACTTTGACACACAGATAATCTGTTATTAAGGAGACATGAAGTGCGAAGCCCCTGGATGAAGGAGAGCTAGGTGAACAGGCTTCAAGACAACCAGTTTCTCAGTCCGGTTTTGCCAGCGACGGTCATTAGCGCTCTGATACACCCTCTTCTAAATGTCTAACATCTCTAGGCTAAACTCACTGAGGCCCAGAGAATTGAGATGCTTCCTCCTGGTTACCCAGAGGGTTGGGGTTGAGGCAGGACTGAGACTTGGCCGTCCCTTGCTCAGTCACACTGCCTGCTTCAGGCTCTGCTCTGAGGTGAGCACCTCACTGGGCACCAGGGATGTAAGTGTGACGAGCCCACCCTTGGGATACTTGTGGTTCTCCCAGACAAGTGCTGGCAGCTCAGTATGCAAAGTTCCAGATGGTGACAACAACAGCTGCGATTCATCAAACGTTGGTGTGCCTGTGCGCGCAAGGCCGTGTGTTAAGGACTTTCAGCCCTGTGTTTTTATTTACTCCTCATGTTGTCCCTGTGAGGTGAGGAAGAAGATGTGCAAAGGATTGAGGGTGAAAACGGAGACAGGTCCCGGAGGGCTTTGCATCTCCTCCTACACG